AAACGGTAAGTTAAACATATTTTCATAGAAAACACTATATACTTAACAATATCGCGTGCTAAGTTATTATTCAACACTTTTATGTTATCAGAAGAAAATTAATTGCAAAGAATATAAAAACTGCTGCACATGACCATAGATGAAAAAATTAAAATTAGATATATGATCGAAAATAATGACTAATATGCAGATTTTATTCGCAGAATAAAAGAGTATCGATTTTTTTATTAATGGCGTATAGAAGAGAAAGTTACTTGATATAATAACCACATTTAATCTGTGATTATGCAAGAGAGAAAAGGCAAGCACTTAGATTAGATGTAATCTAATATTCCTTGTCCAAAGCTTGCCAAACATTCTATCTTTCCCTTTCTCTCTCTCTCTCTCTCTCTCTCTCTCTATCCCGTATCCATTTATCATACTATTTCATTTATTTTGTTTTTTTCTCCGTGACCACAGACAGAAAAAATTCTCTCATCCGTACCGTTATATAATTGATTGGCGTAAAGAAGCAAAAGCTATTTAAGTATTCCAACAAACAATGACATAACATACTGCGGTAAAGGATATTTTGAAATTCAAGCTAATACTTGTATTGTATAGAAAACATAAATAATGCGTATTATATTTCTATGAAACAAAGAATGTCTACAAATGCTCTTTTGTCCAACGAGTACGATAAATTTTATTGAATAATTGTCAGATTATAATTTCATCTATTACCTGCTTATTTATCAGGCATACGAGGATATTTTACTTTCAATCTATATCCATATAGCACTATTAATCTTAAATTGTTTATAATTTATAATACTTTATTAAGATGTTTACTTAGACAAAGGAAAATGCGAAAAAAAGAAATAATTTTTTATCAATTTTTAACTTAATATATAAAGCAACTATATTTTCCATACCTTTTTTTTCTCTCTGTTCTTCGATTGATTTAGATTTAAGATTCTTACGCTTATATATATATATATATATATATATTAGTGTATTCAATACTTCAATAGAAAAACATCGATAGAATAATAGTGAAAGTGAAGGGAACTAGCGTATGTTTATAAAGGAAAGGCAATTTATGCTCAAGTTTAACAGAGTAAACTTTATGAATAACCTAACAAATTTTTTTAACAAATTTCTTCAATTTTTATCCAGACTGTACTCTCACAATGCTTGCCCAACATCGCCGCAAGCTTTTGTATTGTAATTTATATCCAGCAATTCATCATACAGCCGAAATGTTTTAGCCTTTTAATGGATATAACGCGTGAGCCAGGCGTAAAGAATAATTAATCAAGAATCTTAACAGCAAGCGAGCTCTCTCGCCTGAAATAATAGCAGTTGATTGAAAAGTTAAAGCTCCTTCTCACGAGTGAAATGGCCGTGTGTTGCGAGAGAAGAGCTAACCTGCCCGAATGCACTTTATACGTACAGCATTATCTTGCACCTCCGCCCCACCCTCCACCCCATCCCCGCGCTCCCTTTCGTACTGCATCCTAAATCCAAATATGCCCATCTGCCCATCAGCAGCTAATCATAACTCGGACAATAACGTCATTTAAATCGCGGATGAGTGGCGATAGCGAAGGGAGCCTCGATGGGATGAAAGCCCTGGGCCAACGTGCCATCCGGTCTGCATGTTTGAGCTGCTGGCAGCGGCTGTCCTGGAGAACGAGGACGTGGAGAGACACTGCAGTGACTCGGCAATCCTCGCGAGAGGTTTCTCTCTGCAACGTCGCTCCTGCCAAGCGGATCTCCTCAAGCCACTGCGCATATCCCAGCCTCGAGACGTCACGTAGATGTATGGCAGGCGAGTAGGAGAGGGAGCTGGTTTGGTGAGTGGAATGGGGTGGGCGTGTGGGTGGTTGGAGGCGGCTCATATGACCGTCGGGAGGCTGGGATATGCGGCTGACAGGTTCGGTTGGCCCGACCGCAACGCTTCGGGACCCTCAACCTTTCGACATATTGCTTTCGTTGAGCGCGCGATAACGGCGATGATCGTCCTCGAAATAGCAACAGAGTGGCGAACTTACGGTGGGGGAGTGTGAGGTGCGCTTCTGGAGATTGCGGTTATTCGCGTTTCGCTGCTCTGGCGAAGATGCACGCCCGACGACCTGAAAAGAATGTCGATCTTTCGAATAATTGAGAGAAATATAGCTTTTCGAGGGTTCGACAGTTTTCACTAAACTTTGCTGGATTGCTACAAAACAAGAAGCAAGACCATTGGAATTACGAGATATGGTTCACTAAGCCCTAAGAATGGATGTTTTAATTTTCGGAAGAAATAGGTCTTGTGCGTATTCTCTACAAACATAATATTTCCGAATGTTTTCGTTAAATAAATAATATCCTCTCTCTCTCTCTCTCTCTCTCTCTCTCTCTCTCTCTCTCCGTGTAATTATTATGTAGATCTGTAATTATGACCATCATTTTTTTTTGTTTTAAAACGTCATCTTTTAAGATAAATGAAAATGATAAAATTAATTCAGAAATTAGATTAGAACACCCATTATTTAATAATTAATAGCAGTGTTATTTATTATAAACTTATGTAGAAACGCTGATTGTTAAATTTGCTCATTAATTATTGTACCTCTGTGGTCGCATACCGTTATATACAATCCTATATTTGAATGCCAATGAATAATTCTTAAATGAAAATTAATTATTATTTATTAGAATTTGGCCAAATCAAATGTGTAAGATAAATTAGCTGTTTCTTTTGTTACTTTCTGATACCTATTAATATCTTTTAATAATTATTGAAATATCTTCAAATATATAATTAAATTTAAATTATTTACGTAGTTATAAATTATATAATTTTTCAACGATTTAAGTTAGTTTAAAGCAGAAAAAGTTGCTAGCAATTAGGTACTTGATATATGTAGTAAACATTACTTAAGGTAAAAAACATTATTTAATCAATATTAATTTATTTGACTGAATTAAACATATGTAATATAGATCATTTACAAGTATTACAATGATAAAATTTCAACAATGATTCAAATAACGTGCACTGTGTTATGTTTTATATATAAATAATTATAAAATAAAGAATAATACATTGTAAGCATTAATATTTAATATTTAAATAATACTATTTTAAAAACTGAATGATATATGTATTATTATTATATGCAATACCATGATATTCAGATAATTACTAAAATTTGATATTATTTGTTTCTTAAATGTCTAAATGTTTAAACAATTTCATTCCGATCGTTACCATAAGTCGAACAAAATTTTATCACAGAAAACGTTTTTGAAGTCATTATTATTCATATGTAATTGAAATATTTACACAAAATTTATATAAAACTGTATTAGAATTTATTGGAAACTTTGTGGTAAACAGTGTTATAGTAGTTAAACGGTACTAGTAATGAAAAATGGAATATCGTCAATATTAGTTAGCAGGTAAACTTAAAGTTGATAAACACAAATATTAGTTTACTAAATATACTTTTCCGTATTCATATTAAGAGAGTAATGAAAATTGCTCGGATAAACTTGAAAACTGTTTATAAATAATAAGTTATTCAAAGAAATACTGAATATTGCGTTTGATATTTTTAAAATGTATTTAATTAAAATGCAAATTTTAACAATGCAATGATAATACAACGCTTTAACAATACAAAGAGTAATGTTGTTCGTGCATAATTAGGCTAAATTATTTATATGCGTATATATTGATGTCAATAGATTTTATGTATCAGTTTTACTAGTTTAAAAAACCTAATTCAGCAATAAGATATGATAATACACTCATTATCGACCATTTGATTATATAAAATATTAATTAAATTAATTAATAATAAAATATTAATAAGTCATCAAAATCATTAAATAAAATCTATTTTATTATAAGTAATTATTTATAAGATTAAATTTTTAGAGTACTTATCTACGACAAAAATTATTATCCGTAGAATTGTAATAAAACGATCGATTGAAATCACTTAACAATCCTTTTTGTTTATGAACGCTGCTCACAGGAAAAAAACACGAAAAATAATATTTTGTTTATAATACGTAAAATCGTCTTTTAATGCGAATGGGAATGTATTGCAATGAATACTATCACGATTATTTAGCTTATCTTCTAATGTTATTGCTTAAGAAATTGCTTATTAATGACTGTGATTTTGCGCTAACGAAAACAGTAATGGCTGTTTTGATATAACATTCATTTAGTTTTATTTGTAAAGCACAGTCTGCAGTTTATGTACGCACGTGTAATTATATGTTTACATACATTTCTCATTTAATTAAGAACTGCATAATTATATTAACTCGTATTTATTAAAATTTAATGCATTGTTTTACATAAATCATTGTAAATAATATTATATCCTTATTCATTTGCGCAGAAAATATAAGAATTATATATACAAGGAGAATAAATTAAATTACTATTTTTATATAAATTTATTATCAATAAACATCACTTTTTATAATATATTTAATATTATAATAATCATAAATTTTTTTTATAATAATAGTAACATTTGATAAGAATAGGCTGTCTGTTAAAAAACGAATGAAAATATGTATATTTATGAGTAACACATTAGTTTAAGACCTTAACATTTTAAAATAGTGCAATAATTCTTAATAATAAAACTCGCACATTTACAATTTTCATTCTAATAAAAAAACTGTTTTAATAATAATCTTTCATCTAATGATTTGGCAATTAATATTATTTTAATGAATTCGAACATCTCTTGGATTCGTGTAGCGCGCCCTTTATCTGCCAATAAAACCAACACTTCTGCGCATGCTCGAAGTAAATTCGCATTGTATACATAATTTTTAATTAATTGAACGTTACCCATATTTCGTAAAATAGAATTCATTTTTTTAATAAAAATTGAATTGTATGGTGATAGGTACGGATATCAATAGGTAAATTCATTTCAAAAGAATTCTTTAAAAATATTTATTTCATTATATAACGAGCTTCCGTCCTTCTTAATATTATATTTATTTTCTAACCTATTTATAACTTTATACACACTGGGTATTAAATAAATAGTATTTTGGCATGCAAAATCTAAATCTAGACTCACAAACTGTATGGAATCCTATAAATGTTTTTAAAATAGAGGATACTTTTAAATATGCAATTGTAATATTAAATCGACCTATACTTTTATGTAATGATCAAGTATTATCGTTATGGGAAAAAGGTAATATGTTAATTACATTAATTATTTATTTTTTATTATTGTAAGCTATGAATAATAAATATGGATGGTTTATAGCGCAAGTCACAGTCACAGTAGACGGTGGTACAACTCGATGGATAGATTATTTAGGTGATCGTGCTAATAAGCTACTTACAGGAGAATGTAAAAAGTATTTGCCAATGTTAATTACAGGTGATATGGATAGTGTCGTAAAAGAACAGTTAATCAAGTTAGAACAAATGGAGACTAATGTAATATTTACTCCTGATATAATGGAAACTGATTATACAAAATCTTTAATTGAACTTAGGAAATATATTTTACATAATAAAATAGAAGTACTTGTTTTCATTTAAAACTTATTATTCCAGACTCTTAATGAAGAATTATAAATTATTATTGTTAACAGTTGAATGGAATTTATGTTTTTGCTGAAACTTCAGGAAGGTTGGACCAAATAATATCTAATATAAATACTTTACACAAATCTGATAAATTAATTGACTATATACCAGTAAGTTAAATGTAATATCAACTATCTTATAATCTAACTACTTCATTAACTATCGCTGTGCAAAATATTTAAAGATTTTTCAGATAGCGAGTAATTCGTTAACATGGTTGTTGAAATCCGGAAAGCACGTAATAAACGTTCCAGATATTCTATTGAAGAGTAAGAGCTGGTGTGCACTAATTCCATTTGAAGATACCAATAGTTGCGTCACTACTACTGGCCTTAAATGGAACTTGAGTAAGTTTTATGATAAGTCACTATTACATACGGCAAAGTACTTTTATGTATGTCACAATTTTTGGTTATAATGATTATCAAATATTATATACTGTAATATTAAAATCTAATAATAATATTATAATAATTAAAAACATTCAATTTTAGATAAAACTAATATGAAATTTAGTAAACTAATAAGCACATCAAATACCTACGATGGCCATAATGAAATTACAGTGATTACCAATGTTACATTAGTATGGATAATGGGAATCGAACCACTTACAAGGATCTATAACACATAGAATCTCTTTTATTCTTTTTTCAATTTATTCAATCAATTTATTCTTTAAAATAAACATTATTAATAATTTAAAAATTTTGGAAAATTCAATTGGATTATTTTAATAATTTTTTCCTAAATTATAAATTACTTAACTTGTTTATTCAATATAGTGAATTTTAGTGATCGATAAATGACGTTGTTTAATAAAAAATAGTGTTGAACTGTTATATTTTGTTATTTGTAGAAATTTATTGCCTAATTAATTTAAGTATATATTAATACAATGTATAATATGTATATTACATTTCATGATTGAAATAGTTGTTATTTTTATGATAAATTAATAATATAGTTAATTATACAATTCAATAATAATAATAATATAATTATTATTATATATTATTATAATTATGTAATTATATAATATTACAAATGTAATTCTGAAATACTTAGTACTGCAAATGATGGTATTATTGATTAGAAAAATATTCCAATACAATATTATTCAATCTTCTTTGATTATAAACTACATTACTTAAATATTAAGTAAAAGTGGTAATATTTTGGCTATTAATTTAAAAATAAAGTTCTCAAGTTTTTCATAAAATCATATTGTTAATCATATAGTATCAAAATAAAATTATTCAATAATTAAATTTTTAATTAGCTGAAATATATACATTTCTATGTCGCAATACAACTAAGATAATTAAGAGGAAGCCACTTTTATGCATTTACATTAAGCCAGATATTTAATAAATTTTCTAATACAAAAGTTAGATGTATTTTTGTTGATGTATTCTGAAATCCTCTCCAAATTTATAATGAATTCTCTATTGAAAGAATGTTTATTTTTTATTTCTTCTCTCATTAAAACATCTTAATAAATAATATTAAAATTTGTCTATATAAGGGACAACGGAAATAAAATAATATTGTTATATTTTCTGTTAAAAGAAATTTATAACATTATTTTCATGTCTTGTAATTAAAAAAAAAAAAAATGTTTTTATAATACATTTATGCAGATGTTAATGATAATTTTATAAGACTAAAAAGGATATAGCGATACAACGTTCTAACGCAATCGGTAAATTTGTATTTAATAATTTTGTTTTTATTATGTAATTCAACATATATTTTTAATGATATATCAGAATCTTAGAATACAAAAGGTAGACTTACTTGCATTTACACTTGAATTATATAAATTAAGAATAGTAAAATTTTATTAAAGAACATTACAGAAATATATTGGCAATAAAAATTTTAAGAGAATAAATTAATTCACAAACAATGTATACTATCCTACAAATTTGAAATCTAATCATAATCACCAAATAAATAACCCGTGCACGTGCCATCATTATTATTATTCTTATATATATATATATATATATATATATATATATATATATATATACATATATATAATATAATATAATTAACCAGTGGCAAAACAATGATGATATAGAATATAGAAAACATTTAATTGAATTACATTATTCTGCCTACTTTTATATAATAATGTAGTTTTATGTAATTTACAATAAGATGAATTTTATTAGCTCAACTGATATTTTACAATTAAATATATTTATAACATAGGATTTTTAAAGCCTAAAATTTATAATAAATTTGGAATTGAAAAATAACGTATCAAGGATACAATGGCTCAATAATCTAATGCACAAAAAGCTCGATGTATTATTTATTAAAACTTCTAAATAAGACATAAGTTTATTTGAAAAATAATATTAAAAATATGTAATAGAATGATTTTATCGTAAAAAATCAAATCCTACTCTCATCGAGAGTCTCTCTCTCTCTTTCTCTCTCTCTCTCTCTCTCTCTCTCTCTCTCTCTCTCTCTCTCTATTATTCAACGTTCTTTTATAAAGATAATTTTTAAACGCGATATCGGTTGGTAAAAGAGTAAGAAATCCTTGAAATCCCGCGTGTCCGCAGCATTCAATACATAGACTTTCTAATTGTATCAACAGACAACGAACGTGATTTGAAATTATTATTATAGATAACGGCGCCTTCAGCGTAGGGCTCTTAACAACAAATTATAATAGGCCTTGAGAGGCGAAGCGACGGTTGTTCTCGCGTTCTCCAAGTCTTCCTCTAAGAAATTAGCCGTTGAGTGAATAACCGAGCCTCGACTAAATCCGCTTCCATTGGAACCTCGGGTCGCTGAAAAATGGCGCCAGCCAAGCGAATCGGGCCTAAGGACTGACTATTGTCGCACCGATCCCCTGCCCAAGTTTCCACCAAGTTGGCTCGCCCAATAGTACAAGAGCGACGCGATCCCCGAGGCGGGAAATAACGACGACGACGGAGTAGACGAGGCTCGGCTATCTGGGGGCTGAAGAGGACGGGTATGTGCCCCGAGCCGATCAGCTGTTACCGACTGTTTACACTCGTCGGCGGTATGGCGCGAGGTGGGGCGGCTTCTCTGTACCCGCCGACGTCTACGTCGAGTCCGCGCGGTCACCAGCGCGCCTCAGTACCGCGCTGTCCATCGGCCGGCCGCGATCGTCGCCTTTGTCACCCTCGTCATCCCCACCCGCCCCTTGCATCCACCGACACCGCCACCGATATCATTAGATATTAAGAGGAGTTTAACGCTCGTTTAAAATCGTTCTCCTTCCCTTCCGTTTCGCATTATTTTCATTTCTTATCATTTCCCGTATTCTCTTGCTTTCGCATGTGCCAGTTTGTGTAGTAAGCTCTTTCCTTAGATCCGACCCCTCCGCGTACTGAGAGTTTGTTGCTCCAGATCGATCTGCTTGTGATACCGTGTGTTGTCGCCGGCATTGTTTTGCGCTATGCACGCGGTGCCATGGTGACTGGAAGTTGACACGTTTTTTTTTTTTTTTTGTGTCTTCTATTAGAAGTTTATTTTATTCCTTAACTTTTTTTTGTTTGTCAACCCGAGGAGTGTAGGAGTACAGCGGCCCGAACCGGGGAACTCGTACGTGAGTTTAGGAATCGGTGAGTGTGGCTTTCTTATTTTCAAGCGTTTCGCAATTTTTCTCTCTGGACTTTTTAATGCAGTGACGCACATTATGGGTGCTGTCTCACACGACGACAGTTACAAAACAATCAACTGTCTTTAGTCACGACACGTGTGTGTCGTTCAAATGCTTTACTCTGGGAAATCTGTTTTACTAAGAGTACTTTAAAAGTGATAAGATTATTTTTAATTAATGAGCGGCTTTGTTAATGGAATCAGCCGTTTGTAACGTGCTTTATGATATTTTGTGCCCTGCGCATGTGTATCTATTAATATTGTGTTTGAAATTGTTTGAAATTGTAAACCTTATGTTATTGAATAAAGCAAGAAGAAAAAAATCACATGTCTTATGTACGTTACTGCTTTATGAATATTATTACTTATCAAAAATTCTGAGGCCGGCGCTTCAATCAGCCATTTATTTCCCATTTTTCATTTCAATTTTTATCCGATAAACCTTAAATACATAGTCGTTCAAAATTTCCGCATCCGTTTAACTTCACTGCAAATTATAAGCTTCGTTGGTAATCAGGCAAACTAGACGATGGACTTTAATTAAAAAAAAAAAAAAAAAAAAAAATCCTTAATTAAACGACCTGAGATAAAATGGAAAAAAGTAAGTATTCGTCGTAAATAAAGATTAACTTTCAACTATAATAATAATAATAACAATAACAATAACAATAACAATAATAATAATAATAATAATAATAATAATAATAATAATAATAATAATAATAAAATTTTTAATGCTGCGATGAAGGGAATGTTTAATTTACAATTACGATATTAAGAATTTCATTGGCTTTCAATCAATTACTTATTCGTTCAATCATTTATAATTAAACATAAATGATTGCTTTTAGATTTGCAGGGCAATTGAAACGAAATAAACAAATAAATATTTTCATTTACATTTGTAAGTGTAGAGAATAATATTTCTTCTTACAAAACATAATATTCCTCTTTTATTTCAGTTAAACTTTTAGTTAAAATGAGATAATATTAATTAACCGTTATCGAAATCAATAATATTTTTACTCATTGACTTTTCAATAGCCTTATTAAAGTTAGATTAATTTTTCATTAAGACAGTCACTGTACAGTTTGTATAAAGTTCAATCGGGATAAATCGGAATCAATAAACTTACGTTGAGGATGGTCTTTGCGCACTATGAGTTTTTATTTCAATTGTAGTTTTCCGTAGTTTTTCGAATTTATATCTTGTGTAAAACATTTTTTTTTTCGCATTTCAAGCTTGATTCATTTTGTTTTACAATAAAATTATTTTACTTGTATAGCAATGATTATTACATAATTTGTATTTATGTATCGGAGAACGACTATTTCCTCAATAAACAATAATAAAATCTATTCATCTATTTTTGTTTGCGTATAGTTAGAAAATTAGTCATTGATAAAACAAGTGATATTCTTAAACTCTATGAAATAATGTTCATAAATCTTATACGCGTCTATGGAATTAGCTTAATATGTAAACATTTTAGTTCTCACACTAAATGAAAATAGTATATTATATTAGAAAAATATATGAATAGTCGTAAACTTGACACAATTCTCGTAGTAAATTAAGAAAATAATTACAACTTATAATGTACAATTAATTTTTACATTTAATTGTACGTATAGATGAGGCGACATTTTGTATCCTCAATAATATAATACTACAATGACACTATTAACTATCATTAAAAGAAACTTAAATCTCAAAAGCTCGACCACAAATGTAAGTATTATTATCACTGTTTTATTTCAATGAAGAAGCTGAAAATCCTTCAGAAACATCAAACAGAATAATTAGCAAGCGCACGTAAAGTTGAAAATCAAAATTTCAATAGAAATTTCGAAAATTCCATCGGAATGTTCGTAGCATGACGACGTAAACGGCGGCGGCGACGGCGGCGGCGGCGGCGGCGCCTAAGTGTACGTCATCAACATTGTCTCGTAGAGAAGAGAATTAGTTGACTCTATTTTGGA